GGGAAGGGAAGGGAAGGGAAGGGAAGGGAAGGGAAGGGGAAAAGGGAAGAAGTTAGCTCCTCAAAACTCATCTGGCAATAAGTCCATACTGAGAAGAGAGATTATTTATCACACACAACTCACTGTGACCACAGAGAGTTTTATGACTCCTAGTCACCATTATGTTTTTGCCTGTATAGTCCTCCCCTGAACAAGCTTAAGTGGAAGTTTGGAATCCTCAGTAAAGCCTAACCTGTTTTTCTCATTTACTGATAATCTCCATGTGTTTTGCTCACATACAAATAGAATACCTGCTCGATGCTTCCCCCATAACTGTTGATTCCTCTTGAGTGCATCGTATACTCTAATATCTATCCTTGTATTAAACAAAACAAGCAGGGAACAAACTGTGATTGTACCATTTCAAGCTCCACTCAATAATCACTTTTTTCCTTAATTTGTCTTTGATGTGAGTTCATCACTCTACTTGAGGAACATTATAAGACATGGCCTTTTGAAACTCATTGAGAGAGTCATTATAAGTGGGTTATTAACCCTGAACTGCTGTCAGGATGTCTCACTGAACTCTACTTTAGGGCGAGCATGTGGTTAGGTTGGCCTGTTGTTTTCCCAGCATTGAGGACTGTGATCAGGGCAGAGTAGGTAAGCACTACATTTGTACTGAATCAGATAAAAAATGTTTATTTTGGTATTGTGAGAGCTCAGGGGAGAAGTCTCTGAACTATTTTTGTTTTGTTTTTTCTTTTTACATTCTATAGTCTGAACTCAGCAATGACTCATGTGTCTTCTCTGCACTGGCTGCTGAAAAACTTAGATGCTACTGTGTAGTCCAGCCTGACTGACTTTGTTTTGGAGCCAACCCATCCTTGCTTCATATATGTTTGCCCTGATATCTTCATTCACTGTCTTCATTTAGGAATTTTTTTAAATATACAAAATGTATATGAAGCAGAAGCTTTATGTTACCAATCTTCCTGTATTTAATTGTGAAATCCTAAAAGTGAGATATTATGTCTTTTGTACAGTAATCAAATATGATAAGTCATAAAATATTAATTCACATAAATCCCCTTCATTTGATATTTCCTAGTTAACTGAAAACAGTAACAGCATTTCAATACCAATAAGAAATAGTGGCTTCTGGCTCCCACACGTTGTCCCATCTCCTAGCTATTAGAGAGAACAACGCCCAGTTTACACCAGTGACTAAAGGAAGGTTTGGCTTTTAAATTAAAATCCACCTCTTGAACAAGAATAAACTAAAAACAAGTGAGCATGTTCATGCCATGTGTTGTACATTGTACATAAAGTACAATGTAATAATGCAAAATTACAAGTCTGTTGTTAGAAAAGGGCACCCAAAAGAANGATGCCATGTGTTGTACACTGTACATAAAGTACAATGTAATAACACAAAATTTCAAGTCTGTTGTTAGAAACGGACACCCAAAAGAAAGCTTCATGTTCTTTGAAAGTCCTTCAAAAAATACGCTCTTCACTGTGTTAGCCTGACATGATTATGTAAATAAAAAGATCATCTAATGTTACAAAATGAAGNCATGCCATGTGTTGTACATTGTACATAAAGTACAATGTAATAATGCAAAATTACAAGTCTGTTGTTAGAAAAGGGCACCCAAAAGAAAGCTTCATGTTCTTTGAAAGTCCTTCAAAAAAATATGCTCTTCACTGTGTTATCCTGACATGATTATGTAAATAAAAAGATCATCTAATGTTACAAAATGAAGGCTTTGATCAGACAAAGTGCCCGGTTATCTCGCTGCTCACTTTCTCATGGTATAATGAAAAACATTTCCTAATCCATGAAGACAACTATAGTCAATGTGTTCCAATTAGAAAGATCAGCTGGATTTTCTGATTACTCAAGAAGATAAGAATTTGGTTTGTTCCCTTGTTCTGTAACTTATATGAAAGAATCAAACATTGCCACAAACTTATAAAAAACAGTAATATTATATTCTTAGAACACTCCTTTAAGAGATAACATTAGCTATGTGTATCTTAGACTATAAATAACATCCTCTAACAGTCTAATACTACTTCTTAAGCTGGAAAATATTATAAAGTAATCCAAATATTCTTCCCTCTAACTCAAAGATTACTAAGATCAAAGCAGATGCAGACAAAATGTAAAAAAACAAATACCCCTTCTGGCAGTCTACAATGGGTTCTTGAAGCAATCTCACTTTTCCAAAGGTAAAGGCAAACATTAAATCAGTGTCTGAGGCCTTGGGAGGCTGAGGACTTGGTTCTGAGAGATAAACTGTCAAGCATCTAAACTGGCCACTGCTTTCACTGAGTCCNCAAATACCCCTTCTGGCAGTCTACAACGGGTTCTTGAAGCACTCTAATTTTTCCAAAAGTAAAGGCAAACATTAAATCAGTGTCTGAGGCCTTGGGAGGCTGAGGACTTGGTTCTGAGAGATAAACTGTCAAGCATCTAAACTGGCCACTGCTTTCACTGAGTCCTCACCTAAAAACTTCCCACCGCTAAGCTTCAAATTTAAGTAACAGGAGAGAAAACGTCCTCAAGTGGAAACAATCGTAAAATGAGACACAACCCCAGTGACCAAAATGAATGGGTACCAGCAGGCAACAACGGGAAATGTAGATTATCTTTAAAAAGAAAACGAAAAACAAAACCTGATTTCTCAGTGAGTCTCAGAAATTCCTAATAAAGCTCTTAAGGTTTGTGTTCAAATTTTTGTAAAAGAGGTAGAATTAATACATTCTATATTTTTGTATCCAGTGTCTCTAATGTAATTAACAATAGGGATCAAATTACTTTGGTACATGACCTTGAAAGCACAAGGAAAATCTCCAGGAGTTCTCAAACAAAATAAAACAAAACAAAACAAAGAAAGAGAGAAACAACTGTATTTATCAGAGTTTTAATTAAAATAAAGCAAAGGTGGGAGAGTGTGGAGTGCATCTGAGCAAAGTGGAAGTCAAGTCCAGTCAGTTGTTTTAACCCTAATTCCCACAGAGGAATAGGCCGGGGGGGGCAAAACCAAAAAAAGGAGATAAAAGGAGGAAGAACACCTATTAAGAGTTCTGAGTACTCTCAGACTCCTCTCAAGCGGAAAACATAATTATATTTATACCTCTAAATTATATGTAATTAATTTATTTATTAGAAAAGTGCTGTAACCTGTATTTACAAGTGATGAATTTAGTGTGTGGTGGTACTGATCTCTTCATTATTTTTTGATAACTAAAGAAAAAAAATTGAGCTGAAATCCTAAGGGCTCTAGAGCCATGGCCAAAATCCCAAAAGGAACTAAAACAAGACAAGCTGAATAGAAACATCTAAGTTAGTTTTCAGTTTTATAGAAAGGAAAAGAAATAATGTTTAGCGAACACCTATTTTGTGCCAAATACTTTGCCAGGTGATTTATTTAATCACACTTTAATCTTCACAATAGTGTGGAGAAGGTTTGCTAATACGAATGTTTGCAGTGTAGACCCTGAGTCTCAAAGAAAGCACTGAACCTGTGGGAGAACTGAGATTCAAAAAGTGACATGATCTTGCTTATACATGGAATCTAAAGAACTTAAACTGATGAACAGAACAGATTCAATGACATGGAAGCATAGATGAGACTGACGAATGNCAACAGAGACTGGCTGGAGTGGCTCAGCGGGGTGAGCGTGGTCCTGTGCACCGAAAGGTTGCCAGTTTGATTTCCAGTCAGGACACATCCCTGGGGTGCAGGTTCAATCCCCAGTCGGGGCATGTATGGAAGGCAACTGATCGCTATTTCTCTCTTTCTCTTTTTCTTTCTATCTCTCTGTCTCTCTCTCTCTGTCTCTCCTTTCCTCTCTCTAAGCATGTCCTCATGTGAGAATTAAAANCTTTCTATCTCTCTGTCTGTTTCTCTCTGTCTCTCCTTTCCTCTCTCTAAGCATGTCCTCATGTGAGAATTAAAAAAAAAAAAAAGTGGCAAAACTGAGATTTGTACCAGGTCAGTCTGACTCCAAATCTCAGCTTTTTTCTTTATTGTGCATTTGAAATGAATTGAGAGTATCCTAATCCCTTGGTCTGTGTTGATCTGGCACCAGGAGGACTAATTGAAAAATAAAATTTCAGAAAATTTTCTGCACATATTCATCCTTTCATCTTTCTCTCAACAAGAATTTACTTAACTGAATTTATTTTACTCAAGTAACATTATTGGTCAAAATAAAAAGCAGTTTTCACAATATGTATCCACAGCTTTTAGATTATTGAAAGAATTATGTGAAAGAATATAAAATGATAGAAATATTCCTTAATACCTCCCAGAAGCACCCCCAAAAAAGAATGGTGTGAATTATATGTCGCAAGTGGTCTTTTGGAAGGACATGACATTGCATGCCGAAATCACTCATCTAGCTCTCTCGATTCATCATGAAAACAGTGGTAAAACATAGCAGACATTTACTAGCATGAACAGCCCAAGCCTAACAGTTTACAACCAGAGAATGGTCAATGGAAATTCCAATAGTAAATTACCTGACATGGGTTAGAGGCAGTAAGTGATTTTGTAAGAACAGGACTTCCAAGCTTGGCCACTCCAGGCAATTGATGTGCTCGAAAATAAATAAAGGATCCTACAAAAACAAACATAAAGTCATATAGATACAGGTTCTACTCTTGTACATTTAGCTGTTCCTTGCCCTCGTATCTTATCCTGGCACACATTCAAGTGTCAATTAAATAAAGAAAATTATATGTTTTACCAATTTACCATTAAGCTCTGTAGATAACCAAAAGCACTCTCAGATGGATAACATTAAACACCTAAAATAAAATCCAATTGATTAAAAACAAGCTCTTGAACTAATCCTCTAAACAAATATTTTATTGGCTTAACTCACGTCATAAAGTGTGAAATCAAATTAAATGAAGCTTCTAAGCTTACAATTAGATACTCAATATGCCCTTAAGAAATTTCCATGAGAGCTTTATTTTTAAGTTTTTTCACAAAGTACTGAAGGAAAGGAGCCTGTGGGATGAGTTTGGTTTCTCCTGGGGCTTATGTGTTTGACACTGTAGTCTGTGCTAGTGGGGATGAAAGCTTAATTAAAGATCTAATCTGAACGTTAACAAAATAACTGCTTTTAGATTTTAACTACAGTGGATGTGCTCATGGCAAGTGTTCAGGGGGATAACATCTCTTAGCAGCTCAAAAGATCACACATCTGAACTGCTGTTGGGGGGAGCTGTCACTGAATACTGAAAATTTACAAGGAAGGCTATGCCCCGACCATGTCAAGGTCTGATCCTGCCCTTTGATAATCACAAAATGAAGGGTAACTTGGAAAGCCAACCATTTTTACTAGAAAATATCGCATTCAGAAGGTGATTTTTCTAGATACAAATCAATGCTGACTGCACAGAAATGAAAGGATTTCAGTATTAAAATGTATTAGTTTATAGATACCTCCACATGTATAACAAAATAACCATGGTTGCAAGTCAGCAATGTTGTCTTGGAGTGAGGAAAAATAGAACCTGGTTTCTATGGTGTTTAAATCTCAAAGCTAACTGGGAAAGGTGAAGACTACTCTTCCCAAATTCCAACCCAATACTAAAGGAAGCGGTGCATTTTGTAGCTCATTAAATTCTCTACGTTTCACCTATAAAAGAATAGGGTGGGAAAAGATAATATTAAAAAAGTATTCCAAATTTAAAATCCTCAAGTTCAAGTAAAAGGCCATTAAAAATTTTCAAAAGTCTAATCAAAATACTAAAAAATAACAAATATTCAAAGATCTTACTCCTTTAGACATTTAAAACAATATATGCAATTTCAAACAAACACTTAATAAAGAATGGAGCATAAAAACGCAAAAAACTCCAAGATCCAAAGATGAAAAGGGTTTGAATAAATCGTTTAATAAAAAAAATCTACTAGAAATGTACAACCCCAAGACAAAGTTTTATTTAATTTTTAAAGAACAAGTATTTTCAACATTATTTAAGGGATCTCAGTCTTAGAAAAATAAGGAGAGCCCACTGACTCATTTTAGGATGCATGCAGACATCTTTAAGAAAGGAAGAAAACAGAAGAATTAAAAAAAAGATCAAGCAATATCATTCATGATCAGAGATGTAAAAGTCTAATAAAAATGTTATCAATTACATTTGAAATCTTTATCAAATATTTATATGACCCTGGCCAGGTGGCTCAGTTAGTTGGAGAATCATCCCAAGCGCCAAAAAAGTTGTGGGTTCAATTCCTGGTCAGGGCACATAACTAGGTCATAGGTTCAACCCCCAGTCGGTGTACGTATGGGAGGCAACTGATCGATGTTTCTCTCTCACATTGATGCTTCTCTCTCTTTAAAATCAATAAACATATCCTTGGGTGAGTATAAAATAATAATTACTATTGTTGTTATTATTATTATTATATGTCCTGATCAATCAGAGCTTTCCAAGAATGAGGTTTTATTTAATTTAGCAGTTCTGTCAACATAGCCAAATAGATCAACAAATTAAAAAGTGAAATCATAGATTTATATCAACAAATATTGAAAACACTGTGATAAACAAGCCATTCCAAATAACAAAACTTAATAAAATATTAAAGTTAAATAATTAAATAAAGACTAATAATCAAACCCAAAATAAACTATATCCTATATGGTAAACAACAGGATTAGTTTAATTAAAGTGAGAAAATAAGTAGAGATTTCTGTTATTAATTAGAGATAATATTGGGTAATATTAATTATCTTGGGCTAATATTATCTTCTAGATCTAGTGAACATAGAAGTCAAGGAAATAATATATTTAGTAAACATAATAAAAAAAATAGAGTTCTCATGTTTTGCCAATAATATAATTGTAAAAGTAGAAGTTCCCAGGAATTCTATTTTTTGAATAATGACAAGTATTAATAACAGAATTTGGTAAGGCAAATGAAAGCAAATATTTTTAAGTTATTTTTATTAACTATAGCAATAAGGTATAGATATAGAAATGATGAGAAATATTCTCTTCACAATAACATTAATACAAAATACATAGAAATAAATTTAATAAGGGACAGAACTTACAAGAACATCATAAAACCTTGAAGAAGACTATAAATCCTCCAATAAATAGAGAGAATATATTTTTAGATGGAGAGATAGCAATACCAATACCAGCAATGGTGAAATAAAAATATCAAAAACCTAGGAAAATATTAGCAAAAGGCTTTTAAAACTTATACATTGAAAGCTATTCAATATTATTTAGAGAAACTAAAGAAGATATAAATAGAGAATTTGGACATATTTGAAAAGATCCTTTTTCTAAGAAATACAAATAAAGGTTTCATATAAAAAAAAAAAACACATTTTACACCTATAAGAAATTACTTTACACTCAAAAGCTGAAAAATTTTAAGAGAATAAAAATGCCTATGTACAGTAGGCAAACAGAAATATTCACTCCTATTTTGCTAGTGAAAATTTAAGTATTAAAATTTGTAGGGGAAGTAATCTATCAATATTTATTAAAATATAAGTACATATCTTTTTGTGAAAATATGCAAGTCTCAATCCCAGTTAACTATCACATAGTACTAAAAATACTCTATGTAAGAAAACATGTAGAAGAATGAATTTTAAAAGCATTGTTATGATACCGTCAATCAATAGGGGGAATTGCATACCCAGTTCAAAGAAATGAAAAAACAAACAATATGAATTAGGCTTCTTCTGCTTCCAGGTTTAGTCTGCTGTCCAAAACCAGCAGGGGGAAAAATCAAAAAAAAAAAAAAATTAAACAATGGTTTTCAAATGTAGGACAATGGGAATGCAGGATCACTAGATGATCTCTGAGAGCAGAGTAACAAATGAGCTAAGTCATACAATTACCCCAGATTACCACCTAGACAGTTCCCAGCTGCCATGTAGAAAGCAGGAAACTGGGAGAGGTACGGTGGTCTCATCAAGTTGAAAAGATGGTGTTGGTAACTTGGGGACACCCAAGTGATTGGAGTTCATAAGGCAGAGTGCCAGGAAGGAGAGGGTTACAAAGAGAGACAGCTCCATAGATCTGCAGAAAGGTCCCCACTACGCCCCGTCAGATCCCAGGTGAGCACTGACCAGTGCGAGAATGCGAGGAAACTGGGGAGGCTGGGGAGAAACATTACACAGGAGCAGCTGAAGCCCATCCTGACGCCCACAAACAGCCAGGAATAGTAGGCTTTTCTCACCAACCAGAGAGAAAAAAATTAATTATACATAGGCATTGGACAGAGCGCTCAAATCAAATGAAAACTTATCTTCAGGCAAAAAAACTATACACAAATTTTATAATATATTCATAATCACCAAACATTTAGAAATAGCCCAAACGTCCTTTAACTGGTATCAAAACAAGTGGTGGTTGATCCATACAATGAAAGACTGCTCAGCAGTGAAAAAGAAAGGAACTACCTAATGCAATCAACAACATGGATGCATCTCAAATCCAGTATTCTTAGAATGAAAGAAGCCAGACTTAAAAAGCTACATGCGGTATGATTCTATTTACATTCTGACTAAGGCAAAATTATAGGCACAGCAATCACACCAGCAGACACCAGTGGCTGGAGGTGAGTGAGGTGTTGACTACAAAGTGGCATAGCAGAATTTTGGAAGGGGTAATGGAGCTATTTTATATCTTCTGATGGTTACACGATTGTATATGTTTATTCAGACTCAGTGACCTGTATACCGCAAAGGTTGGATTTTACTGCATTTAGATTATACTTTAACATGAGATGATGACTTAGAGCTATCTATAGTGAAGAAAATAAGACAAGGACAATAGTTGCAATATGATCTCATTTTTGGTAAAATAATCATAAAAGGACTTATACATATCTACTATGTATGCAGGCTGTTTGGATGTTTAACAGAATAGCTAGGAATGAGAAAGTAGAAGCCAACCCAAAAAGGAGGGTAGGGAAATCAAGGCTTTACTGAAAGAAGATTAGCTGCATCATGTCAACCCAGTCATCTTTTATGTAAAACAACATATGGGAGTGTGTGCGTATGAGGGAACTACTGGATATTAAACAGTTTTTTAAAAGCTCTAATCCATAAACACAAAGCTCTAAGAACAGAATGAACTGGAAGTCTGTAGTCTTAGCTTCGGAAACTGTAAGACTGACTCTGCTGCATTTCCCAGGAAACTTCCATTTCATTCTCCTTTCTCCTCTGAGTACTGGTTTGTTTCCCTCCTCCTGGTCATTTAAGACTACTGTGATTATCTTAAGGTTGGATAATCACAATCTTAGGGGAAGAAGTGTTGACTCAATGACTAAGATATTTCTTTGATTTGTCCTTACTAAAAAGAGAAAGGCTACAATTTATTTGTCCCTCACAGGTTGAATTAGAACAGCTGCCTCCAGTTTTATCAGTTTATTGTTATTTTTCAACATGGTTTATATCATAGGAAAACAAAAGTGGGTTTTTCAATATTTAACAAAGGGGCCCTTTTATATTGTTTTATTTTTCTTTTATTGTTCAAAATATTACAGATGTCCCTTTTTCCCCATTGACCCCTCCAGCCCTTCACCCACACCCCACCCCAGGCTTCCACCACACTATTGTCTTTGTCCATGGCT